CCCCCCCCCCAATTTTTTTTTTAATTTTTTTTTTTTTTTTCCCCCCCCCCCCCCCCCCACCCAAAAAAAAAAAAAATGGGGGGGGGTTGTTTTTATATATCCTTCTTCTCTCCAATTATATATAATATATATATATACATATATATATATATATATATATATATGTATGAAAAATGAAAATAAAAATAAATGTGTACGGGGTCAACATCAGAAAAATGTAAGGATACTAAAAAAAAAATGGTTGACAGAAAGAAAAAAGCTGTGAATTAATTAATCTATGGTTACAATTTAGTTTCACTAATAGACAAAATAAATTTGTGTCCTTAGCTGCAGTATATGAGGAAGGATATAATTTGGTCCCATATCAAAATCCGGTCTACGATATTAATACTCTTTACATTTATTTAACGGTAAATTACAAAAACCCCTCTCAACTTAGTTTAAATTACAAAAACCATACCAATCTATTCGGAATTACCAAACACCCTTCCCCGGATGGTTTTTTCCATCTTATACCACCGACCTGCTCTGCAGACGTGGCATTTCTTTTTTTAATATAAAATTACCCTCAAAGGGGTGATATAGTAATCACTAGCGAAACCAGAATTTTAAGTTTACGGGGTCGAACGCATTAAAACTTTAATGAGGGGAGCTGATAATATAATGCTAGTTATATACAATCTTTATTATCAAATCTTTACATAAATATAGAAATTCGAGAATTGTTGGGAGGGGCATAGCCCCCTCTGAATCTATGCTGACTTCGCCACTAATTGTAATATATACTAAAAACATTGTGAAAGTGGTATTTAAGAAGGATAAAAATTTTGTTTAAAAATCCCCAAGATTAAATGCCTATGATTAATAAATGAAGTATGCAATCCACGTTAAATGAAGAAAAACAAAGAGTAAACAATACACTCAACTATTGAGTAGAAATTAAAAATCTTATTAATAATAATCACTGTTTTCGCGTAATCTACTAATCATACGAAAAAAAACATATATATATTCGCGGCCAATATTTTTTTATTTTACATACGAGTATATATACGACACACTATATATACGTACCACACATATAATTATGTATATATATACACTAAAATACCCATAATTAATAGAAAAAAAATAATAATAATAATATATAGGAAGCTACCATAGCCAGATAATAAAAGTGCCTCGACGATTCACCTAAGGGCCATTGTCTCCTTAACTTCGGCTTCTATTTGCCGCCCCCCATTTTTCATTTTGACCCCTTCCTATTTTCATTTACCCCCCTACCCCCCCACCCCCACCACCCCCACCCCCCACCCCCACCCCCCCACCCCCCAGATAATATGTGCTATCTTTCATCATGTGTGGCTATGTGCACAAGAACCCCGCCCCATGTTTTCGACTCAAAATATGGCTATTCAGTGCTTCCATTCGTCAAATGTACCATAACACATGTTTTTTTTATTTATTTATTGCCCCCTATTTATATTTTTTTCTTACATTTTTACTCTTTCCATTTTCCACATTTTTTTTTAACTTACTAAATTGGTCTACATTCAGACCACCCTTTTCACCTCTGTCCCTTCTATTATTAGCTCTTAATTAATCCTTATTAGATCTTCTGTTACCACAGTACAACCAAAACCCTTATTTAATTAATCCTCTATTTTTGTTAATACTAATAATTAGTGATTTTGTACTATTTTCTAGATTATTTTACTTATTCCAATTAAAATTAATAAATTTAAAAATGAAAATGGTGAATATAGATTCAATAAATAACACCTGCTAAACTTATTGGTTAAGTCAAACTAAACCCCACCACTAATTAATCACAATCCCACATACATACATTAATACATAATTAGTACAGTGATTGTTGGGTGGTTGTCAAATTTTATATAACTTAATTAATCTATATCTGTGTCTGTTTAACAAAAGTTCATCTGCAGATTAACTAATTAAATTACTTGTCCAAATTGCAAGAATCTATATATCTGTATTGTTGTTATTATTTGTTTTAAACTTTGATATATATATATATATATATATATATATATATATATATATATATATATATATATATATATATCATAAGTCAATTTGGTTTTGCTTTTCTATTTAAGCGACTGAAAAATAGTAGAAAATACCCATATTATATTTGACTCGGTTTTTATCTCACAGATATTGTGGCTCGCGGATTTTCAACTGATCAAGGTGCAAATGAGCTGAACCACACCAGCTTGTGAGCCGGTTCGGCAAAAGATCGCACTCGAACTCGAATTTCGCGAGCCCCAGCTTA